GATTACCAGGAAATTACTGAGGGTGCATATAACATAATACACAAATCTCTTAAAAACGTGCAATTCAGCAGATGCATAATACAGTACAAATATCATAAACCACAAGAATTTCGCTCTAGAGATGTAGAAATGTTAGCAATGTTCCTGTTTTTGAATTGGACACTTAAGAAATTAGTAATATATGCAGAATAAGTCATTAGGCTTGAGGTTATTTGAAAAAAAGATAGGGTTTACAGTTATCATGCACATTAGATTAGGAGGAATGTTAGTGTTGGTACAGTGCCTAAAGATGGATTTGTTCACTTTAAAAATTAGATTTTTCTGCTGTCCTTTTATGCAAATCATGAAGCACATCATGATTGCATATCATGCTGTATCAAGGTAGTTTAATAGTCCTCTAAAACATAAACAAAATGAATGCATGTGCAGTCGAGGATGCTATTTGGCTAGGTGGTTAAATTCCTGTAAGATCTAGGGTTTGCCTGGAAATAGTTTCCTTCATATCAGAGAAGTCTGTCTTGCTTTCCTCCATCTTCCTGTAACTCCTATCTATCTATCTATCTATCTATCTATCTATCTATCTCTCTCAGTGCAGCTCCCTGGGTTTCCACTGTAGCTTGAGTAGGCACATCACCACAGATTGCTGCTGCCTATTACCCTTCTGAGTTAAGTGTTGCCAGCAGTCCTGTGATATTTGGAGGGTTGGATTTCCTATTCCTGCTTTCCTTCTTTTGGTTTTTTCCTTATTTAGGATGACCACCATGTCTCCACTATAGCTGAAACCAAATATGCTTGCCATTTTCCTTTCATCCCTGCATGTAAAGACAGTCTGCCTTCCCATTTAAATGAGTCTGACACTGGTGCAAAGCATATTAATAAGGGGAGGGATGGAGATGAGGGAGTAGATGCTTCCTTACTCCATTAGGAAAGTGCGTTCTGTCCCAAGAAGCTATCAGGGAGGTCTATGTTTACCACAATGTTTTAATTTTGAATTATGAACCTGAAATGATCACATGTTTTGGAGCCAGGAAGCTTCATAGAAAGACTCAAAATGCAGGAGACAGCCTTTTAAAATATATATGTTTAAAAATTTCATGAGTTTTGGAGGTCTTCCTCTTCATTTCTGAATACTTAAGATTGGCAGTACTAGATTTTGGTTTGAAGTAAAGGAGAAGGGCCTCTTTGATACTAGCTGCCTGTCTGTGTTGATGCCCAATGTGGAAGATCATGTTTTTTTTAACAAACTATTTAGTCTGGAAGCCTAAATATGTTGTGTTATGTTTTGTCTTATTTTTTCCCCACATGCAATTTTACTCCTTGCTTTTTCCAGTCTTGGCATTATTGCCTATTATCCTTAAGTGATTTTGACTTTGTTTTCCTCCATTTGAGCTGCAACTGTCTTTGTACTCAAGGATGCGGCAAAAATGGCTGCGAATCACCTCTGCAACATCCACATGCTAGCACTTACTTTGCATTAACCCAGTTCTTGAGGTTGGCAACAGTGGGCACATCCGTACGTTAATATAATCTTCTTGAATAAACTACCAGAAAGCAAACTCTCCCAGGTATGGGTCTATGGCTGTGTGTAGACGAAACGAGAGGCATATGTGCACGACACTTTAAAGCAGGCTAAATGCTTTTGTACCGCTTTAATGGTGTCAGTGTTTGTATGCCTCAGCGGCATGTTGTGTGTTAATTCCAGGCACTGTAGGAACTTTGGTGGTGGAATGTGCCTTAAATTAAGTGGGGCACAGCAAATTGAAACTCCTTCAAGGAGTTTTAGTTTGGTGCCCCTACAGCCAGCCTCTGTGCAGCTCCACAGCTCTGCAGGAAGCCCTACAGGCAGCCTGACAGCAGCCCGGGAAAGCAGGCTCTGCCCAAGAAAAGTGGTGAGCTTGATCTTACCACTCCCACCCCCCAGCCCTTGGAGCCTGCCAGCCTGCCTGAGCTGCACGGGGGCCTGGTGTGTCCCTCCATGGCCGCGGTGTCCCCCGGGACTGCCCAAGCCGGGTGCCTGGTGGTGGGTGCTGCCTGGGGGTGGGGCAGCTCCCACAGAGGGAAGCACCACCCCCACCTGCAGCCCAGGGACCGCTCTGCCTGCTGGCAGCTCACCTTCCCCTCCCCACCAGAGAGGCAGGTAAGTCAGCAGGGTGTGTGCACTACATGGGGTTTAATCAGTTCTAAACTGAAGCGGTTTTTTTAAAAATACACTGCTTCAATTTAGGGCCCTTGTTTCATCTACACACGCAGGACACAGGAATAGATTTTATGCTTCTAGCAGCAGACTGCACCTGCTCTGCAATGGACCCCTGCAGCAGCCAGAGGTAGCTTTAGGCTCCCCCTCGGTGCTTTGCCAAGAGACAGCTGTCTTCTGGCAGGGGCTGGGACATTATTCCCTGCCCCTGGGAGCTGCTTGCTTGCAGAGCAGGCTCCACCACCAGAGCCTGAGCAGGGCCAAAGTCCCCCTGCCCTGGCAGCAGGGAGCTTCCAGCTCCTGCTTTACAGTCAGGGGACCCAGGTTTGGAGATCCTTTTCTCCTAGTGCTAGCTTTGCAGTTGTGGGTCCAGCACTGGGAGAGAAGAATCTCCCAGCACTGGCCCCGTGACTGTGGGGCACAGGCTGGGAAATAAGGATCTCCCAGACCCAGCCCTGCAATTGCAGGGTGGGGGCTGGGAATTCCCTGCTGCCAGGGCAGGAGGACATTGTCCGCACCCAGGCTCTGGTGGTGGAGCCCACCTTGGTAGCTGGCAGCTCCTGGGGTGCAGGAAGCAATCTCCTGCCCCCTGTTGCCTGGCTGACCAGGAGCACATTTGCTCTTGGTCAGGCATCTACAACATATGAGCTACGGCACAGTAAGTAATCTTGAGTAAATTCGCTACTTGGATTTGCAGGTAGCAGCATTACTCACTAGTAGAGCCAATTACTGCACAGTAAGCATCTGCACATGTAGATGCAGATGCTTACTAATCAGTAAAGCATCTCATGTAGATACGCCCAGTAAGTGCAAGAAGGCAGTAACTTGTGCTCAGCTATTATTGCCCGTGGCCTCATTCTAAAAGCAGCTAAGAATAGCTGGAGCACAAAGGTATTTAAGCCATAAATACTCACCTCATCGTGCTCATGGTGAGTCTCCACCCAACATGGTGGTTGTTATAGGACTAACTAGGAAATTCTACAATGGCTGATTCACCCAGCTTTCCTGTACAGTCTTGCCATATTCACAGAGCCAAGCTAAAGCACTTATACCATTGTCCGGTACTGGGTCACCACCTCCTGTAATGGATCTCTTTCATTAAATGGATTTCTTACAAGCATGTTGCCAAACATGCCTATCATTGGGTGTACAATTTACCAAGTTTTGTGACTGAATCATAGAAAATGAGGATTGGAAGGGACCTCAGGAGGTCATCTAGTCTGACCCCCTGCTCAAAGCAGAACTATCCCCCACTATAGCATCACAGCCAAACCTTTATCTAGCTGGGTCTTGAAAAACTCTAAGGATGGAAATTCCACAACTCTCTGGGTAATCAGCTCCTGTGCTTCACTACCCTCCTAGAAAGTTTTTCCTCATATCCAACCTGAATTTCCCTTGCTGCAGTCTGAGGCCATTGCACCTCGTTCTATCATCTGCCATACAGGAGCCAGAGCCTTGGTTATTATATTGCAATTTCCAATGAAAAACAAGACAAAAGAGGAATGCATGATGAAAAAAGAAAGGAGGGAAAAAAGGAAAAGAAGGTGAGAAAAGACAGTAAAGAGAAGGAAAACAGGAAAGACTGGTGCATCTCCATTAGATGCTTTACTGCACAGTAAAGTAGTTTACTGCACAGTAAGTGTGTGCATCTACATATGCACTTGGTTACTCTGCAGTAAACTTCACTAATTGCAAGTAAATTGCTACCTGCAAATGCAAGTAGCAAATTTTCTTGTGATTAATAACGGTGCAGTAGCGCTCATGTAGATGCCTGACTGGGAGCAAATCTGATCCCAGTCAGCCGGCCAACAGGAGGTGGGAGGTTGCTCCCTCCCTCCAGGAGCTGTATGCTGCTGTGGTGGGCTCCACCACAAGAGCCTGGGTGGGGACCATGTTCCCCTGCCCCAGCAGCAGGGAGCTCCAAGCCCCCCGCTCTGAGATCACAATGGGGAATTGGGGTCTGAGAGATCCTTATCTCCCAGGCAGGGTGCTCTGCAACCAGGAGGCCAGCGCTGGGAGATCCTTATCTCTTAATGCCAACCCCTGGTCATGGAGCTGGCGCTGGGAGCTCCCTGCTGGTGGGGAATGGGGATCCTGTTTCCTGCCTAGCTCTGTAATTACGTGCAATTCCTGCCCAGCTGAGGACCACTGCTAGTTGTCCCACTGGCAGGTCTTTCCAAGTTTCCTACCCCCAACTAGGGAACTAGGGCCAGGAGTTCCCTGCTGCCAGGGCAGGGGTACATTGTCCTTCCCCTGCCAGTGGCAGCCCCCCAGGGACAGGGAGCGATGTCTCAGCCTTAACCAGGGACAGCCATCTCCTGGGCAGGTGCTCCCTGCTAGCCCTTGCTAACATACAGGGGAAGCCTAGGGTTCCCCCCATGGTAGTAGGGGGCCATTGCAGGGCCCCAGGAAGCAGGAGCAGTTTGCTACCATTTAGCAGCAGATCTGCTTCCGCTTCCCTGCGTGTGTGGGCGCCTGCCTGGGAGTGTTTACACCATGGTCAAGTAAACAGTAGACTAATGCACATGTAGACACACCCAATGGGAACAAAAGAGCGTTAATATTGGTGTCAGACTAATGTTTCTCCTAAAGCCTTAATATTTTTCAACATGTGTAATTTTTATATCATAGGTTGAGAAACATTATGAATTGATGTTGGGAATTTGCCTGTTCCGCTGTGTTCTGCTGCAGTGTACTGGGCACATTCTATTGTAGCCCTTTGTAAAAAAGCATTATTGATCTGTTTTGTTACTGTTTTAAAGTGAGACTGTGTATTCAACTAATCTTCCTTCCCTGTTCTCCAAAGGTAACTTATCTGTTGGAGGGTGGGTCCATGGCCCATGAAGATTTCTGTGGACATGCTGGTAAACTGAACCCAGGAGATTTACAGGTATGGGAAAATGGGCAGAGAAGTGTAGGTGACATTTTAATCCTACAAGGCTACTTCTACCTTTCTTCTTTTGAATTTGTGATTATCCTGCAATTCAGAAAAACAAAACAAAACACAACTTTTTTTTTTTTTGTTATGTTAAACATTTTAACTGGTTGCTAAACTCAGCCACAACACTGTACTTTCCCCCCCACACACATTTAGCATGTTTACATTCCAGATAAATTCCTGGCATGCTATGTTTTACTGGGAACTTTTATATTTGAGTTATTTAAAACTTATCTACATATAAACAGTGCTTTCTTGTGCTGTTCAAATAAATTAACAAACAAGTGCTACTTTTTCAACTCAGCATTTCAACATTTAAAATCAACAGATAAGCACCATGATTGTTATTTATCTAATCTGTGTTTGATTCAGACAGAAGTTTCAACCATGTTGACTAGTCCTGGGTAAAAAAAAATTCCTTCACTCCAGGTTTTTTAATTCAATGGATGTGTTGTGACCCTTTGTATTCTGTTCCTTCTACTTCTTCTGTTTTAGTGGATGACAGCGGGGCGGGGTATTCTGCACGCAGAGATGCCCTGCTCAGAGCAGCCAGCGCATGGCCTGCAACTTTGGGTCAATTTGAGAAGTTCAGAGAAAATGGTGGAACCCCAATACCAAGAACTGAAAAATGAAGAGATACCAAAGCCTACCAAAAATGGTGTGACTATATCTGTCATTTCAGGAGAGGCACTGGGTATAAAGGTAAACTCTTCGAGGTCATTGGCATAGCTGGAGTCTACATACTTTTTATGTATTATCTATGTTTCAGACATTTGCAGACAAGTTTAAACATCAACTGTTTTATCAGTTCACTTAGGTTTTAAAAGGAGAGATCCACTACATTTTATAAACATTCTTTGAAGGTTAAGGGTATGTGGCAATTGTTCCATCTTGTCATTTCTAATTGGTAAGGTATGTTTCTTTTAAATGTGGTATATTATTACAAGTTGTTCCCTTATGTATTGCACTATAAATCATGTGTGACAGAATTCTCCACCGAATTCTCTGTGTTAGAGAGCACGTGCCTTAGCCTGGGGAAAAATATGGTTTAGCACCTGTTAAAATGGCTTTATGTAGAATGTGTTGTGCCACCTTTACCCACAAGTAGTCCATTTAAATCTCTGTAATTACTCACCTGAACAAAACTACCCACTGTAAGGGTTGTTGATTCAGACCCGTCAGTATATATTCAGAGTTAAATAATATCTTTTCATTTGGCTGGAATTGTTTGTCTGACTATAAGCAGGGGTCAGTCCGGCTAGAAAAGGGTTAAAATGCATCCTGCAGACCCACTGGGCATCACCGCTGGAGACAGGATCTAGGCAGTGAGCTGATCAGTCTGGAGGGAGGAAACCTAGGATGAGCAAGGTCAGAGGACATGGTTTGAACTGAACTTTATGCTGCTTTTGTGCCCTTCCTGCTAATAAGTCATCCTTTCCTGGTGGTTTTGCATTTGGAATCCAGATAGCATGCACACTGGTTTTCATAGAAGGCTGAGACAGCCGTCCCCCTGTCCCGCAGTTGCAGGAGTACAGGATAAAGTAGAAGAAGCTCATCTCTTCAGTCAGTTCACTCTGTGTGAAGTGAGGCAGGCTTCTAGTGCTAGGGTGTACAAGAGGTGTGGTGAGAAGGCCACAGTGTGGTTCTGGCAACACTGGGGAGCCCAGAGGTCCAACTATATTCTCCTTTGTACTTTATGTAGTCATTTATATCTGTAAGAAGGGAGATACAAAACATGTGAAACTTGAATGGCAGTATTTCATACCTGCTTTGCACACGAGTCAATGATTACCATGGGTACCAGGTGTTGGGGACTTGGGTCCAGCGTGAGTGAGTCTAGCTGGAGCCATGACTACATCTATTCATAGTGCTGCAGTGTAGCAAATTCCACTTCTGCACACAGTGCTCTTGCAACCATGCTTTTGCATGCAAGAGACTTTGTGCCTTTGGAAGTCGTTATGCTTCAGGCCTCTTCTGCTTGTTTATTGGTGCAGTAGGTAAAGGAAATTCCCATATTCCCTGAACCAACTCAAGTGCAGCTCTATTCATACTTATCTTTTATAATGTATGATGGCAAAAAAATAACTGCATGAAGAAGGCCATATTTCCATTGCCTTGCCTCTTATGTGATCATTTTAAACCTGGGATAAATTCATATAATGCTTTTCTGAGAGTGGCAGCATTTCACACCTGTACAGATACGTTAGCACGGTACCCCAAGTTACAGAAAAATCAGTCCTGGAAAATATTCATAGGTCTTTTTCACACACCTGATACTTCACTGTATTATATGCAACAAAGATTCATGTTCGTTTTTATTCCAATTAGATTTGTAGATTTTGAAACCAGAAATTCCTTTTGACAAATCTGCCAAGCACGATTTTTCCTTAGCGTATCCTTGTAATTCCTAATAATGGAAATAACATAAAACCACAACAAAAGCTCTGTAATTAAGCTACATTAAAAAACCCCAGAGAAGAGCAAAAAGCCCATCACAATGATCGGATAAGAAATGGTGTCAGAGCACCTACTAACTGGCTGGTATTATGCGGACAGGGTCTAATATTAGGATAGTGACATGTCTATTCCCTAAGCTTTATTTTTAAGTTGACAGTATACCTTATGGAAGGAATGCCAAGTAACCAACAAAATACTCTTATGTGCTGTTTTAACTTCCATTGTGAAATCATATATTTAAACAAAATAGTAGTTCAGTGTTGGTAGCTGTTCCAAATGAAGAGGGTTTTGGACTTCGAGTAAGTGGGTTTCTCCTTTATCCTCATTTATAAATCTTATATTTAATACAAGTCATTTTAATTGACTGCTTTATACGTTGGTTACCTACTGATCTAGTAGCACATGAAGCCAGTATCTTCATATATAATGTTTTCTGGGAAGAGAGAACATGCCTTTGTGGTCTATAGGAATGTGGCTTGTCAAGGAAGACTAAGCTTTTGTCTTTGCAGTGAACCACCATGATCTTTTAATCAGAGAAGGTTACGAAGGAAAAACAAACTGCACAGCTTGCTAATCTGGTTCCCGTTGCCCACACATGGAGCTAGTGAGCCCATCCCCTCCCTTTCTAAGTCGAACTTTGGCCTCTCCATTCTGCCTCCAGATTCTACTTTTTATGACATTGACAGTTTCCATATAGAAACTAAACCACAGAAAAGTTCTCTCTTTTCAGAAGTAATTACATATTTTCTTTATACATCCAAGGGGAGTTCAGTCTCGATGCCAGTTCAAACTGCAGCTCTCACGAGATTGTTGACAAGATTTCAATTAGCTGTTGGATTTGGTGAATCTTTGCTGCAGGAAGCACAAAAACATGGACTAAATCTTTGGGCTGCCTCCCTCCTTACCACTACATCAAGTCTGAATTTACTCTCCTTTCTTATAGGGCTCTATATGACTGCCCATACCTAATTATCCAGGCTTCAGTGGATAACACGGCCGTAGACTGTAAATTTCATAGGGCGCTAGGAGTGGAACACGGCCTGTAGACTGTAAATTTCATAGGGCGCTTTACTACTTTCAGTACTTGACGTTAAGCATTCGTTACAATCTGGCACCAAGTAATTTTAAGTGGAGACAAACAGTCGTCACATATAACAGTAACAGTTTGCCTTGAATATCTCTTTTAGAAAGTCAGTACTTTCACCTTACAAAAGCTATATAGGCTTCTAATAGCAGTGTGTATAAGTGGTTGTTTCCTAGCTAAGGAAGTATGAAGTAACAGGTTCCATCTGTAGCTTCAGACATTAAAAATGAAGAGAAGGGGGAAAAAATAAATACCTTCAGGAACGCTTAGCAAGGCATAAACATTTTTGTTGCATTTTTTCTTGTCATTTTTGTTTATTTTATAATAGGTTCTGTGCCTATAAAATGTGATCTGTCATGCTTGGAGAATTAAGCAGAAGCAAGTTAATTTTTCTGGCATACAATTATAATTTGGCACCAGCCCTTCTCTTTTTTTCTCAGAAGGCTGCTCTTAGGCCACAGCAAATGTCCATGCAGCAACATAATGTGGACTTTCTAAAGCAAGGATCCGCAATCCATGGCCAGCTGATTCTGATCCATGGAGCCTTTGGATCCAGCCTGCTGAGACATGGCTTCGGCAGCATTTGGTGGCAGAGGGTTTTGTTTGCAGCACAGCTGGGTGGTGGGGGCTTGGGCAGAGGGTCCCCTTTGCCTGCACCACACCACGGCCAGGCAGTGGAGAGAAGCAGTGGCAATGTCTAGGTCTTAATACCAGCCTGCCTCACTCCAAGCTGGTTCATTCCAGCCTGCTGGCAGAAAACATTGCTGACCCCTGTTCTGTAGACTTTAATCAGTGATCATCAGTGGTATTGTAAGTGAAAGAATGGGCTCATAGGGAGTGGCTTTGACTTTGCAAAAGATGCAGAAGGTTACCGAAAGGGCATTCACTGTAAACACCTTATAGGTTTGTCTTCTATAAACATATTTATTATATAATGTTTCTTATCTTGAGAAGTTGGCACCCCCCCAAAGAATGTCTGTACTTTAACATCCACATTCCCCTATGAATTCAGTAAACATGAAAAGAAGCAGCTATATTACTCAAAATTGTGAAAAATGCATATCCCAGTTGTCCAAAATCTTAGCATCACTGATCTTGCCTAAGGAAGCTAATGACAACCTGAGATAGAACATCTAATTGAAGGGGGTGTCTCTTTTTCTCATTCAGTATGCAAGTATCGCCTTTTTACACTGGGAATGACATACCAAACTACAGGGCTGGGATAAAATATCCCACTTGACATCCATCAATGCAAATATATTTAACTCATTTTTATAAATAAATGACTGTGAAGATAAACACATATGTGGCACTCTACACCCCTGCCTAGTGCTACAGCAAATTTACATTAGGACCGTGCAACTGAAAAAGCAGAAGATAGAGCAGATATATGTATATTAGAGAACACTGCATCAGAGATGTGGTACAAGAATGGATGAATGTTTGTGAGCTTGTCTTATAAAAATAACCCATTTTTCAGATCTGGACTTTGAGGTAGGACATTAGAAGAGCTCTGACTGGATTCCTTGAGGAGACTGTAGATAGACAAGGTTCTTTGGGTGAATCTGATATCTTTTATTAGACTAACTTAAATAGTTGGAAAAAATGTGTAGCAAGCTTTTGGGTTTAAAAACCCTTCATCAGGCTGAGAAGACTGTGACAGATCACACACCATTTTTGAGGTACCAAAGGGTGATCCTATTCCACTGTTCAAGTCTCTGAAAAAATGTCAGCGTACTTATTCTTATAACATGTCATTACCTTAGCCTTAAGACTAAGTGACAAAAAGCAATGAACAGGAGGAAGGTCCATCTACTTTTTGTGTTAACTGTTTTTCAGGGGCTGGAACAGAGTAAAATAGGATCATACATAGACACTTAATAGGCAAAATAAAATCTGGTCCATTGTATCATCAGAGGCCAGTTGGCTAGGTAGAGGGAACATGGGCACTATGATGTCTTAAGTGTAATTTGACAATTGATAAAGACTCTCTTAATCATGTAAAGACTGAACAAAAGTGCTTTGCAGTTGGAGCAGGATTTCAGACATGGCTGTCCAGCAGAGCTGGACAGTCATTCTGCATGTAACCACATCTTTAAGACACATTTTATATGAACCAGCTACAGTGCTTGAACTCACCACATGTTTGAAATTTGACTTC